GCCAGGGACGCGGACCCTGCCTGCGCCGGGGGGCTTCCCTGCGTGATCTTGGCCACCGGGCTCAACGACGGGCAGATCAAGGTGTGGGAGGTGCAGACAGGTGAGCCACCATCGCCGGCACCGGGAGCTGGTGTCTCTCCCCTTGCTCCCCCGTGGAAGGAAATCCCGTCTCCATCCTTCCCCAGATATTTTCCTGGGGTGAGCGGGAGCACCTGCCCTGTCCCCAGCCAGTGTCGCGCGGGGGGCACTGCCTCGTTCCCCGTGGCAGGACAGCACTCAGTGTGTCCCCTCTCCGCAGGACACCTCCTCTTCAGCCTCGTGGGGCACCAGGACGTGGTCAGAGACCTGAGCTTCGCCCCCAATGGAAGCCTCATCCTGGTGTCGGCCTCGCGGGACAAGACTTTGCGTGTCTGGGACCTGAGCAGAGATGGTAGGACACCATGGGGACATCCCCGGTGCTAGGTCACCCCCCCTGAGGCTGGGCTGTGCGGGAAAGAGGGGGGAGAAACCCACCTTGATAGGGGAGATGGTGGGAGAGGGTCTTTGCGGACAGCATCCTGTGACAGGGAGCAGAGCTGTCCCCTGCCCGGTGGGGCCTGGGAGGTGCAGGAGGAGGTTGCAAGTGGACAGAGCGTGGGATCTGCCTGGGGAACCCCCCAGCCCCACCTGTGGAGGGGAGAGCAGGGACAGAGCCCGGCACTGCCTCTCGTGCCCCCCTCTCATGACCCGTGTGTCTGCTGTCCCCAGGGCGGCAGGTCCAGGTGCTGTCGGGCCACGTGCAGTGGGTCTACTGCTGCTCCATCTCTCCAGACTGCAGCATGCTCTGCTCCGCGGCCGGAGAGAAGTCGGTGAGTCCCGCTGGGTGGGAGCCATCCCACGTCCTGATAAATCCACTGCTTCTCTCAGCCCTCTGTGTCCCTCCCATGCGATAATCCCCCGTAAGAAGGGGCCAGGCCAGAGCCACCCTTGCTCCTTGGCTGTTCTGGTTCTTCTGGGTGAGCTGGCACCAGAGCTGATGTGCTTTAAACCCCGAGGGGGGGATGCTTCTCCTCCGCCCCCCCGGGGCTCCCCCCTGCCTGTGTCCGCAGGCGCTGCTGTGGAGCATGCGGTCCTACACCCTCATCCGGAGGCTGGAGGGACACCAGAGCAGCGTGGTGTCGTGTGACTTCTCGCCGGACTCGGCGCTCCTCGTCACTGCCTCATACGATGCCTGTGTCATCATGTGGGACCCCTACACTGGGGAGCAGC